TCGACGCTGTGTGGCCCTCTGGGGGCTGGACGCTGTGTGGCCCTCTGGGGGCTGGAAATTGTGGCCGTCTGGGGGCTGGACGCTGTGGCCCTCTGGGGGCTGAACGCTGTGGCCTTCTGGGGGCTGGACGCTGTGTGGCCCTCTGGGGGCTGTAAATTGTGGCCCTCTGGGGGATGAACGTTGTGGCCCTCTGCGGGCTGGACGCTGTGTGGCCCTCTGGGGGCTGGACATTGTGGCCCTCTGGGGGCTGGACATTGTGGCCCTCTGGGGGCTGAACGCTGTGGCCATCTGGGGGCTGAACATTGTGGCCCTCTGGGGGCTGAACATTGTGGCCCTCTGGGAGCTGAACGCTGTGGCCCTCTGCGGGGTGGAGGTTGTGGCCCTCTGGGGGCTGGACGCTGTGGCCCTCTGCGGGCTGGAGGTTGTGGCCCTCTGGGGGCTGGAGGTTGTGGCCCTCTGGGGGCTGGACGCTGTGGCCCTCTGGGGGCTGAACGCTGTGGCCCTCTGCGGGGTGGAGGTTGTGGTCCTCTGGGGGCTGGACGCTGTGGCCCTCTGGGGGCTGGAGGTTGTGGCCCTCTGGGGGCTGGAGGTTGTGGCCCTCTGGGGGCTGGAAATTGTGGCCGTCTGGGGGCTGGACGCTGTGGCCCTCTGGGGGCTGAACGCTGTGGCCTTCTGGGGGCTGGACGCTGTGTGGCCCTCTGGGGGCTGTAAATTGTGGCCCTCTGGGGGATGAACGTTGTGGACCTCTGGGGGCTGGACGCTGTGTGGCCCTCTGGGGGCTGGACATTGTGGCCCTCTGGGGGCTGGACATTGTGGCCCTCTGGGGGCTGAACGCTGTGGCCCTCTGGGGGCTCAACATTGTGGCCCTCTGGGGGCTGAACATTGTGGTCCTCTGGGAGCTGAACGCTGTGGCCCTCTGCGGGGTGGAGGTTGTGGCCCTCTGGGGGCTGGAGGTTGTGGCCCTCTGGGGGCTGGAGGTTGTGGCCCTCTGGGGGCTGGAGGTTGTGGCCCTCTGGGGGCTGGAGGTTGTGGCCCTCTGGGGGCTGGACGCTGTGGCCCTCTGCGGGCTGGAGGTTGTGGCCCTCTGGGGGCTGGAGGTTGTGGCCCTCTGGGGGCTGGAGGTTGTGGCCCTCTGGGGGCTGGAGGTTGTGGCCCTCTGGGGGCTGGAGGTTGTGGCCCTCTGGGGGCTGGAGGTTGTGGCTCTCTGGGGGATGAGTGGAGTTAAGGGGAGAGTGAAGGGTGACTTAAGGGGAGAGTGGAGGGTGAAAGTTAAGGGGAGAGTGGAGGGTGAGAGTTAAGGGGAGAGTGGAGGGTGAGAGTTAAGGGGAGAGTGGTGGGTGAGAGTTAAGGGGAGAGTGGAGGATGAGAGTTAAGGGGAGAGTGGTGGTGAGAGTTAAGGGGAGAGTGGAGGATGAGAGTTAAGGGGAGAGTGTTGGGTGAGAGTTAAGGGGAGAGTAGAGGCTATGAGTGTAGGTGAAAGAGGTGAGAGATACCAACCAGAAATTAGCCGAGAAGGTGGATGAGAAGCCGCCAGAGAGAGAGAGAGAGAGAGAGAGAGAGAGAGAGAGAGAGAGAGAGAGAGAGAGAGAGAGAGAGAGAGAGAGAGAGAGAGAGAGAGAGAGAGAGAGTGTTTAGTATGCCACCTGGGAGACGAGCAGCGGGAACTGCAGAATTCGGTGAGTGAATTTGGAGTGATGTGTGAGCGAGAGAAAGAGAATGCTAATGGGGAAACAGACCAAGGGTGAAAAAACACCAGATGAAGCTGTTTGATGCGGACTCTACGCTTCTCACACACACACACACACACACACACACACACACACACACACACACACACACACACACACACACACACACACACACGTGCACACACACACACACGCACACGCGCGCGCGCACACACACACACACACACACACACCCACACTATGAGGAGTTAAGAAAATTCCTAACAGATATAACATGGGAAACAGAGCTCATGGGAAAGACGGCCCAAGACATGATGGACTTCATCACGCAGAAGTGCAAGGACGCAACGAACAATTTTGTCCCAGTCCAAAAGGAAACTAATGAAATGAAGATGAGGAACCCATGGTTTAATCAGAGATGTAGGCTAGCTAAGCAGCAAAGTAAAAGGTCATGGAGAAACTATAAGAATAACAGGACACTGGAGAGCAGAGAAAGATACCAGAATGCCAGGAATGAATATGTCAGGATGAGCAGAGAGGCAGAAAGACAATACGAAAACGACATCGCAAGCAAGGCAAAGACTCAGCCTAAATTGCTGCACAGCCACATCGGGAGAAAAACAACAGTACAGGAACAGGTAATGAATTTAAGGATAGGGGCAGAAGGATTCACTACAAACGACAAGGAAGTGTGTGAGGAACTGAATAAGAAATTCCAGGTCTTCGCCTTAGAGCAAGGAGAGATTCCAGAGATGAGAGAGGGAATAGTTACTCAGGAACCACTAAAAGAGTCTGAGATTACCAGTGGGGAAGTAAAGAAGTGTTTACTAGAGTTGGATGTGACAAAGGCTATAGGTCCAGATGGAATCTCCCCTTGGATACTAAGGGAAGGAGCAGAAGCACTGTGCCTGCCACTCTCCATAGTGTATAACAAATCACTGGAAACAGAGGGAACTGCCAGAAATTTGGAAGGCAGCTAATTCTACGACCAGGCAACAAAAATCAGGCACGAAAGAGAAGGGTGGGCAGACTACATATTTTTGGATTGTCAAAAAGCCTTTGATACAGTATCACACAAGAGGCTAGTGGAAAAGCTGGAGATGCAGGCTGGAGTGAAAAGGAAGGTACTCCATTGGATAAGGGAGTACCTAAGCAACAGAAGACAACGAGTCAGTGTGAGGGGTGAGGTCTCGGATTGCCGTGACGTCACAAGTGGGGTCCCACAGGGGTCAGTCCTTGGACCTATACTGTTTCTGATATATGTAAATGATCTCCCAGAGGGCATAGAATCGTTTCTCTCAATGTTTGCTAATGATGCAAAAATTATGAGGAGGATTGAAACAGAGGATGATAGTAGGAGGCTACAGGACGACCTAGACAGACTGAATGATGGTCCAACAAATGGCTGTTAAAGTTTAATCCGAGTAAATGCAAAGTAATGAAACTAGGCGGTGGAAACAGGAGGCCAGACACAGGATACAGAGTAGGAGATGAAGTACTTAATGAAACGGAAAGAGAGAAAGGTCTAGGAATTGATATCACACCAAACCAGTCTCCTGAAGCCCACATAAAAAGAATTACATCTGCGGCATATGCAAGGCTGGCTAACATCAGAACAGTCTTCAGGAACTTTTATAAGGAATCGTTTAGAATCTTGTACACCACATACGTAAGACCAATCCTGGAGTATGCGGCCCCAGCATGGAGTCCGTGCCTTGTCAAGCACAAGACGAAGCTGGACAAAGTTCAGAGGTATGCCACTAGACTGGTCCCAGAACTAAGAGGCATGAGTTACGAGGAAAGACTGCGGGAAATGCACCTTACGACACTGGAAAGACAGAAGAGTAAGGGGAGACATGATCACTACCTACAAATCCTCAGGGAATTGACAGGGTAGACAAGGATAACTATTCAACACTGGCGGTACGCGAACAAGGGGACACAGGTGGAAACTGAGTACCCAAATGAGCCACAGGGACGTTAGAAAGAATTTTTCAGTGTCAGAGTAGTTAACAGATGGAATGCATTAGGCAGTGATGTGGTGGAGGCTGACTCCATACACAGTTTTAAATGTAGATATGATAGAGCCCAGTAGGCTCAGGAACCTGTACACCAGTTGATTGACAGTTGAGAGGCGGGACCAAAGAGCCAAAGCTCAACCCCCGCAAGCACAATTAGGTGAGTACACACACACACACACACAACGATTGAGGATTCACACCATTTCAAAGGATGAAAAAATTAAAGAACTTAACACCCTTTTCATTGTCTTTCTAAATCATGAGAAGCAAACAAGAATGCCAAGCAGGTGAGCTTCAACCTTCAGCAAGCTAGCGGGAAAACGTACACTTCAGCAGGCAAGTCAGCAGGTAAACGAGGAATAAGAACATAAGAACAAAGGCAACTGCAGAAGGCCTATTGGCCCATACGAGGCAGCTCCTATCTATAACCACCCAATCCCACTCATATACATGTCCAGAATATAGAACACAATAGAATATAGAATATAGAACATGAATAGAACGCAGGCTTAAGCAGGCAAGGGGTCCACTGCCTCCTCCTCCTCCTGCTTGCGCCTCCAGTAAACTGCCGAAACTGGAACAATTTTAATGATTAAAAGAGGGTGAAACTTTAGCGGCCCAGCGCTGAATACTGAGTCCAATTCAGCACGGGAAACTTTTTCCTTATTACCCTTTTTGAAAAGAGAAGTGTTGAGAGGGCGCGCCAAATGCATCTAGGAGTAAGGAGACAGGTGACGGAGACAAGATTATCAACCTAAGATGAAGACTTCCGATTCATTCGTTACGGAAAAAAATTGCTGAAACACAAGAGAAGTTTAGGAACGCTGCATATTACTTGACAGTCGGAGAGTACTCGACACTATCCAACAGAAGAGAAGCACCTCTCAGGGAGGTAACAGAAATACTTCAGCGAAACACATTAACAAGGTTGGGAAAACCTTGTTAGTGAGACAACATCTATTGGTCCATACGAGGCAACATCTATTGGTCCGTACGAGGCAGCATCTATTGGTCCATACGAGGCAGCTCATATAGGTCCATACGAGGCAGCTCCTACTGGCCCATACGAGGCAGCTCCTATTGGTCCATACGAGGCAGCTCATATAGGCCCATACGAGGCAGCTCCTATTGGTCCATACGAGGCAACATCTATTGGTCCATACGAGGCAGCATCTATTGGCCCATACGAGGCAGCTCCTATTAGCCCATACGAGGCAGCTCCTATTGGTCCATACGAGGCAGCTTCTATATCTACGCAAAATCATTCATATATCTATCATTCGCTCGTAACAATCCAGCGATCCCTCGTCCATTGTGTAAGTGTTTAAGTGTGTCTTTATGTACTCACCTAGTTGTGCTAACGGGAGTTGAGCTTTAGCTCTTTGGTCCCGCCTCTCAACTGATGTACAGATTCCTGAGTCTACTAGGCTCTATCATATCTACATTTGAAACTGTGTATGGAGTCAGCCTCCACCACATCACTGCCTAATGCATTCCATTTATTAACCACTCTGACACTGAAAGAATTCTTTCTAACGTATCTGTGGCTCATCTGGGTAATAAGTTTCCACCTGTGTCCCCTTGTTCGTGTCCCACCCGTGCTGAAAAGTTTGTCTTTGTCCACCCTGTCAATTCCCCTGAGAATTTTGTAGGTGGTTATCATGTCTCCCCTTACTCTTCTGTTTTCCAGGGATGTGAGGTTCAGCTCCTTTATCTTTTCCTCGTAGCTCATTCTTCTCAGTTCCGGGACCAGTCGGGTGGCATACCTCTGAAACTTCTCTAACTTTGTTTTGTGTTTAACTAGGTATGGACTCCAGGCTGGAGCTGCATACTCCAAGACTGGTCTTACATAAGTGGTATACAGGGTCCTGAACGATTCCTTACACAAGTTTCTAAAGGCAGTTCTTATGTTGGCCAGTCTAGCATATGCCACTGATGATATTCTTTTGATGTGGGCCTCTGGGGACAGGTTCGGTGTGATATCAACCCCCCCCCCTGATCTTTCTCTCTATTTGACTCTTGCAGGATTTCACCTCCCAGATGATATCTTGTGTTCAGCCTCCTGCTCCCTTCGCCTA